GTTTCTTCTGTTTTGAGAATGAATTGTTTTTCAGAGATGATTTTGCTTACAAAAAACTTTGATTCCATAATTTTAGTCTTCAGACTCTTTAACCTGAATACCATTCTCAAACACAAAAAAGATGTAGTGGCTAAGAAACTGAATAAGCAAATTCTTGGTTTCAATTTCACCTCTGACATGATCTCACTAGTCAGCCTTATGCAAGCACCTCTCTTTCTTTCTGACCGGATTCACATAGCATGACAATGATTTGTGGGTTGGCACCCACAATGGGCTTTGGTATTGTGCAAAACCAGACTGATTCCCACAGGGTGAGTTGTTTCAGAGGAGGCCATCCTGACAGTCTAGAGCAGGGGTGTCCAAACTTTTTGCAAGGAGGGCCAGATTTGGTGAGGTGAAAATGTGTGGGGCTGACCATTCAGCCTGACATTCTTTGAACTATTAACATTAAATGCAAATGAACTATTTTATGAAAGACTAAACAAATAACTTAACTGCACTAATGTGAAGGGTGATACTGAGATCTCGACTGCATTATATAGGCCAGGTCTGTCTCAAAAACAGTGATTTTGATGTGCAAGATGTCACGCAGGTAAAAGTAACTTAGTCTCGTCCTCACGCGGTTCTTGTTAATGTTCATAACCGAGAATGTCTTCTCGCACAAGTATGTCGAACCAAACAAGCTCAGCATTTTCTTAGCAAATGTTCGAATCCCTTGGAACCTGTCTTTATCCAGCTGGCGGTAAAAGTTGACAAGAGGGAGCTATTGGTGCCAACTGTGTCACCTGACGTCACACTGCAGCTCAATGAGCTCCAGCTGCAGGTGGTCTGGAGCGTCATCAGGATCCACAGAGAAAAGAGTTGAAAAAAGCATGATCTCCTTTTCAATAGCTGCAAAATCCTGAAAGCGCTGTTGAAACTCCTCAGCCAGAGATGAGATGTCTGCTTCATACCTCCTTATTTGCACACTCATATTGTTCTGTGGAAAACTGGTCATTATTTCCTGCAGCGATGGGAAATGTGTGGTATTGGGCTGCGTTTGTGACAGGTGGCTTTGGAAAAGTAGCAGCTTGGTCCCAAAGGCTTTGATATGTGAATACAGTTGGCTTACCACTGCATTTTGCCCCTGAAGGCTCATGTTCAGCATGTTCAGATGTTGTATTATGTCAACTAAAAATCCAAAATCAGCCAGCCAAACAGGATCAGATAGCTCTGGCATCGGTTGTCCCTTTTTTTGCCAAGAATTGTCCAATTTCCTCCCTAAGAGAGTAGAAGCGCTGCAGTGCAGACCCCCGACTGAGCCATCTTACCTCATTGTGATACACAACATCTCCGTATTCAGCCTGGATGTCGAGTAGAAACTGTTGAAACTGGTGGTGGCACAGGGCTTTGGAGCAAATATAATTAATAACCTTCATCACCGGTTTCATAACATCATCATATTTCAGATGTTTGGCTCAGAAAACTTGTTGGTGAATAATACAGTGGAGTTTTATAGCTTTGCCTCCTTCTTCGCTGACTTTGTTACAGACTAGGGTTGATAATCCACTCGCCAGCCATGGCAGGTGCACCATCCGTAATAATCCCAGTGACTTTATTCCACAGTAGTTTCATGTCACCTACGGCGGAACAAACAGAAACAAATAAAACTGTTCCTCTTGTTTGGTCCTTAAGGCTCTGGAGGTCAAGTAGCTCTTCACTCACGTTCATGTCATTGTCCACTCCTCTCAAAAAAATCAATAACTGAGCGGTGTCAGATGCATCCGTGCTTTCATCGCAGGCTAACGAAAAAAAGTCAAACTCCACTCCTTTTGCCTCTAACTGTCTCTTAATATCAGATGAAACGTCTTCAATTCTCCATACCACAGTGTTACGAGCCAGGCAAACACTGGCAAACTCTTGCTTCTTCTCAGGACAAATTTTCTCCACCATTTTCATCACGCAGTCTTTAATAAATTCACCCTCAGTAAAAGGTTTGCAGTGCTTGGCAATCAGCGTTGCAACCTCGCAGCTCGCCTTTGTGGCATTTTCATTTGACTCACGGGCTCTTGTGAAAAAGCGCTGCTGTGCCGTTAAAGCAGCTTCCAGTTCCTTCAATTTTTCGCCGCGTTCGTTCCCAGTTAGCATGTTGTAGTTAGCATGTTTCGTCTGGTAGTGCCTCTTGATATTGAATTCCTTGAAAACAGCCACAGTCTCTTGGCAAATTAGGCAGACACAGTTGTTTCGTATTTCAGTGAGAAAATACTCCAAATTCCACTTGTCCTGGAAGTGGCGGCCCTCGCTGTCAACTTTCCTTTTTTTAGTTACAGTCGCCATTTTAGAAATGGGCACACAAGCCTTGTGTCACAAGGGTCACGTGGCGAGAGTGCTGACTCAGGTCTACTGCCATCTTCTGGTGAAATATAACCCCCAGCCTTGAAGGAGCAGGAGACAGCAGGGGACAGCTGCGGGAACCCCTGTGCGGTGAAGGGAAAAATGCTGGCCGGCGGGGATGAGTGACAGGCTGAGCCTGCGGGGAGAAGAGGCTGCGGGCCGCTCGAAATTTGAAAACGGGCTGCAATTGGCCCCCTGGCCGGACTTTGGACATGCCTGGTCTAGAGCTTGGAGGTGGTGTTGCAGGCTGTTGTATCATGTAAATCTGGGTGGCTGATCCCAGCATGGGTATCAGGGTAGGTATTAGGAATGGGCTAGCAATTCACTTTATGAGAACAGCACCGCTCCCTTATGTCAGGAGCTGAGGTTCCTCCTTCGTGCATTCAAAGTCACAGACCTTGTCCTTGCAAAGCGTTCTTTACTGGCCAAAAGCACAAAACACCCACAATGAATCTCTGAGCATGCCCAGAGCAGTTTGTTGAACCCAATCTCATATTTACCTTCAGGAACTCTCCTTATGAGCAAGCCTGGGCCAGGCCCCTTTGGGAGGGGCCTTCTGAAAATGAATATGCCTCCTCACTGCATGCTGATCCTCTATTGGGTCGTCCTCCTCTACTGTCAGGGCATCATGGGATCTAGAACTGGGGCCACCTCAGCTGAGAATTGCCCCTGTTCCAAGCCCCCTCCTGCTAATGGTACATCCTGACTGTTCCCAGAGACCGCTTGCCCACCTGAGGAGTCTGGACTTGAGATAAGCATCCCGCTTCTCTTGTCTCACTGTCTTGGAATGGTTCACATTCCCAGGTACCCCACTTCTCTCCCTCTTCTTCCTTTTCTGATTCTTCTGAATCCCAGCCAGCAGCCCTAGAGGATGTGCACCCAAAACAGCCATCTTTCCCACTGCTCACTAGCAAAGCTTTTCCAGACACCCAACCAGTGCCAGCCATTGCGCAAAGTGTCCAAGAGACTCTTGGGAATGTTTGGCAGCTATTTGCTGCCCTCCCTGCTATGAGCTGTGTTTGGCTTGCTGTGACTTCCTTGCAAAATTCCTGAGGGGCACCTTGGTGAAGTTATTAGTGGCCGGCAGATAATTTTTTTTTTAAATATATGCAAATAAGTTCTTTTTGAAATATTTATTTTAGCAATAAATAAAATAAAATACTTGTTTACACAACTAAAGGATCATTGTTTCAAGAATTTGGGCATTGATGTCTTAGCTGTGACAATGTCAAGCAGATATAAGCCTGGACATTGTGCCAAAGAGGCTGCAAACAGCTTCCATGCCACCTTTGTTTTGCTTTTCACAGCTATTAAAAGGCTGTTAAGAGAAAGGAATGGTACAAATTATCTTTGCTTATGAAAAGATGGGCTTTATGCCCCTTTGGTGGCAAGATCTTTCACTTTTTTAATGGTGTTGCATTAGTCAGGGTGGTTCATGCTTTGTACCTTTTACACAAAACTCTTGGTGCCCAAGGGGGGGTACAAAAATGTACCCTCTTTTTTCTTAGCAAAAGGGACTTCCATGACTAGCTGTCTGTACACTGGACCTGTTTAAAAGAGGGGTTTGATAGGAGAATGGGGTTTTATGACTGGGACATACACTGAAAACAAAAAAAGTGAAGTGCAGAAAAATCATAGTGTGCCAAAAATGCCATGCAATTGCAGCAGGGAGTTAGGAGAGAATTCTTTCCTGCTGCAGTGTCCTCCAGGATACCTGCAACACTACTTTTTTTTGTGGCGGGGGGGCAACAACCCATAGTGAGCCTAATCATCATTGGACACACCATAGGTTGTGAGCCACCCAGGGGTGCTGTGGCACAATTGGGTGGCATACAAATGTTTTAAATAAATAAGCAATCCACTGTGGCTCTTTCCCAGAGTGGGCTGGTGTGACATCTGACTGCGTCCCCCTCACTTTCTTCCCCAGCCCTTTACAATCAGGGATTGATAATGCAACAGTCCTCTGTAAGGAGTTCTTTAGTGGAAAGTAGTTGGTATATGCTTAAGCACAATCCAAAGGCTAAATGCTAACAGCTCTAGATTCTGGAAACACACATTGTCCATATAATTTTTCATAGTTCAGGAATTGGGAGATGAGTTATGCTACATTTCTCTGATCCCATCCACAAAATTTCCAGCAATAGACCATGAAACCTGTGTCATAATATTTCACCCAGTAATTGCAATAGCAGCCGCAATCACTAAAAGTATTGCGCTTTGAGTGTTTGGAAATATCTTTGGTAAAATCTTCAGATGAACAGGAGTGCTGTATTGAGGGAAGTTTGTGAAATATAAGCAATACAGCAGAAGCAAACATGCTTTTATTTTGCTTAATTCTGATTGTCTTGAAATTTGTTGATTTGCCAAAGCAATAGGACACTGCTATTAACTTTTTACATCTAAGCAGCATTTTAGAGTACTGATTTGCCTCTATTCAATCAAGAAAAAATATTCATAATTTGGAATTAAGGTTCCAGAACTACTTTTGCAAGTCTTTGGTTCTGAGCAGCAGCAGGACTGAACTGCCCACAGGCTAGACTAGGTGCAACCTATCTCCTATTTGCATCCTGAATGATTGTCACATCAGCTCTTAATTTTTCAATTGTTTGTGTGCTTTTATTTTTCAGGCTCTGATCCAGCTACCACCATACATCTCTCAGTGTGATGAAGTCCTTCAGTTCTTTGAGACAAGACCAGAAGACTTGAATCCCCCCAAAGAGTAAGTTGATTATAAGTAGCTTACACAGCTGCACTAGAAAGATTAAAATAAAGTCAATGAAAACTGTATTTTAATGCTCCTTTCCCAGTCGTGCATTTTGCTTTGAAAAGCAAAGCAGAAAAACCACATACATCAAGTTTGTGTTCCTCTAATATTCACTGTATGTAGAAAACAGGCACCACATAAAACTTAACAAAAAGAATAAATAAAACTAGTTCACCTTCACTCAGCACTGGTTAGGCAGCACTTAAGAATATTGTGTCCTGATCTGGGTGCCACAGTTTAAGAAAGATGCAGACAAGCTGGAAAGGGTTCAGAGGAGGGCAACAAGGATGATCCTGGGCTAGAAACAAAGTCCTATGAGGAGTGATTCAAAGAACTGGACATATTTACCCTGGAGAAGACAGAGGGGAGAGATGATAGCACTCTGCAAGTATTTGAAAGTTTGTCACAAAGAGGAAGGACAGGAGGATCTCTTCTTGATCATCCCAGAGTGCAGGGCACAGGATAATGGGCTCAAGTGACAGGAAGCCAGATTCCAGCTAGATATCGGGGAGGGGGGAGTTAATTTTCAAAGACATAATTATCAAAATAAGAGGTATTTTTCAAATCAAAACTAAGATTTAAGTAGCAACTTCGTAAAGACAAAAGATTGAGAGAAGATACTGTTATGTTCAACATGTGGAAATACATTAAAATCTTCAGGGAATACTTTGCTTTTCTTCAGAGGATTCTGTGGTTAGTATCCATTGCTGCCTGCCTGCTCCCGTAATCTGTTGCACTGTGGTTAATTAACAGATCTTGTACCTAATAGAAGAGGAACAGGTCAAGAGAAGCTTGCAGAAAAAGGGGAGCTCTGCTGGCATGTCCTGTTGCAGAAACAAGTGTTTCCATTAGTTTCTAGGATTGCTTTAGGAAGCATTGGCCTCCTGTTGTGTCAGCCATTGGTCCCATTGGTACAGCAGAAACAACAGGAGCAGAATGGCAGTATTGAATACTGCCCTATCTTCCATATGTGAAAAAAGAGAGACTAAATATTACAGAGAGGACATTACCACTTTGGAATCTAGCCTTTTGTTCTGTGGGGTCATTTCCATGTATCCATCATGCAGCTTATCTGTCCCTACCTAGCAAGTGGAAGGAGCATTCTTTCTTCATTGATTTGTCCTCACACATTTTAGCTGCTAAGACAGAAGGTCTTTATGGGTATAAAAGGATGATCTGAATCTGTGCTGTTCAGTGTCACTAGCTTCCTGAAGGGATAACAAATGCCATAGCTTTTCAGAAAGGAAGAGAAAGACCTAATATGTTTGTGCCATAAATGAATATATGAACAGGGCTTGCAGTACTGGGTAACTTACTGTGAACACACTTTCAAACTATATGGAAAGCTGACTATAGTATACCAACAGTCTTATTTTACTTGAACCAAAGTAAAAGGTAATACAGATACCAAGAAGGGGAAAGTGAATGGTAGGGGAGGTCTGACAATATTTGGTTTGCTGGTATGCTCATCTGCTGGCTCAGCTGTGGAGCTGTGTCGGATCCTGACTGTGGAATATGCTGTAAACTCACTCTCTTATATTAAGCTGCCTTCTCTGAAAGAAACTCTGCAATCCATTTAATTGGTCCTTATAATTCCTTGTGAGTTCATGCTGCTGCCAGGAGGAATTGAATCACTGACTTGAAATGGATATCCCTCCCTTGGTTTCTCAACAAAAACAGAGTGGTACATGAGCTTTGAAACTGGCTGTTGTCCCTTGTATCTCAGCTGCTGAACTGGTTTGTATGGCTCAATAACCTAAGACTTATCAGCCTTGCTTATTTCAGGCTGGTTTTCAGGACCCACCAGAGCATTTTAGTGTAGTTTGTTAACCGTGCATAAGCCCCCCCTAAGAACCCATGGCTTGCTGTTGAGCTGGTTCGCACCTAACAGAAAGCTCACCTTCCTCATGGGGCTTTTTGATGTGGCTGCCACCACAATTTTAAGTATTGAAACCAAAGGCAAGAAGAGTATAGCTTGTTTCTATGTGCAAACCAGGGCCATCTTAACGCATGGGCCTGATGGGCACTTGCCCGTGGGCCCCATACTAATCTGTGTATGTTAACCCTTGGAAAATTGGAAAACTTCCAAAATTAACAGTAGTTGTAGTTGTCGTAGGGGCCCCAGTACACTGCTTTGCCTGGGGCCCATAATGCTGTTAAGACGGCCCTGGTGCAAACCCAATGATAATGGGTGGTTAGCAACCCAAATGAAACTGTAAAACTATCCATTGATCCTGGGGGTCTTGCCAGCCACTACAGCCTAGTATTGTTGGTTTCACATGTAGGGACAACCTACAGCATAGCCTGGCTCTGACATGTATAGCCAAAAGGGTGGCTACCAGTGCACTGAGAAGCACTGTGGAGAAATTCACCCATGGTGGCTTCCCATTACATGCAAAGTGAGCCACTGGATTGTTCAGTGTGGTTTGATTTCCAAGTGGCATGTTGTGATGTGCTGACACAGATTGTTTTTTTCATCTTCAGAGAGTTTTGTACAAATTTATTTTTTCCCAGTTTCTGCAAGATTTCTAAAATAAAGCTAAAATAACTTTAGGTTTTAAAACAAATCCAGGAAATTTATGCAAATTTGCTGAAAGCAGAGTAACTACCCTGAAAGTAATCTGCTGAGGTTGTTCCATGAGATACTTGCTAAGAGCAGATGGGAGGACTGAGAAGGAAACAAGCCATGGGAAGCTGCGGAGTACCTGGTCCTTTGTCTGGAGAAATTCAGATTACTCCTGACAAATCAACTACCAATCCATCATAGCTTATTTTCAGGGTGGCTTATTGTGACATGCACACCAGTCCACTATTGTGAGAAATGAAGTGATGTTCTTTTTCATTGCTTGTTATTCATGCAGTTAGCATCTTACTGGGACATCAAGTTGTTACATGCCTTATGAAATCAGTCTTTTAATTATTTTGTCACCAACCCTTCATATTGCTTTTTATATGGCTGGCTTAATAACTTACTAGCAATATATTAGTGCCTAATAGCCTCAAATGCTTTTATTCCAGGATCAACCAAAAGCAAAAGGCACTTTTCTGTTGCCAAATGCTTGAGTAATTTATACTGACAAACAACAACCACACAGTTGTGTTTTCCATTCATAACAAAGAATGTCTGCAGTCAGTCCTTCCTTGCATGATGCAACTTTTGCCTTATGACTATGAGCTAGAAGCCCTCTTGTTAAGCATTTGGAGCATAAATATAAAGTATCAGTCATTATCTCACTGGAACATGCAATTACGCAAAGAAATGGATGGAGGAAATTGAAATTGAGAAAGACTTCCATTTTTAGGGGGATGAGAAGTTATTTGGTTCTCAGTGTCAGAACATAGAGTCCTTCAACACCCAGATTGTTGACAAAGAGTGATTTTCATTTAGTACAAGAAGGATTTATCCCTGCAGTTCCCTCCTTTATTGCTCTCATTTTCTTTATTTGTCTTAGTTTCTTCTCAGTAACTTGTTTAGATGGATGCAATACCACCACCTCCTATTAACTAATAACATATTGTGAGTCTGTGTTCCCATTGTTTTACCCATAGCTTTATTTTCCCAGCAATGCAGGATCCCTTTAGCAATTCATCAGATAATGCAATGGAAGATATGAGAAAAGCCAGTGTGGAGTAGAGATTAGAGTGTGGCATGTGACTAAGGAAATGTGGGTCACCATTTGGCTCTGATGCTTACTGGGCATTTTTAGTCCAGTCACTGACTCTTATCCTAACCTTCCTTACAGGGTTGTTGTGAGGATAGAATTGAGAGGAGGTACGTGTGAACCAACTTGATTTCTTGCAAGAGGAAAGAAACAGGATATAAATCTAAAAGCAGGACAGGATATAAATCTAAAAGCAGTAAATAAAACAGATTTGCAACTGTAATTCATTTAATATGGAGGAGGCTGTTGGGAGTTGTTTTTGTTCGAATTGTATTTCTTTATATCAAGGGAAGGAGGTCTAGGAACTGATTTCTAGGCCTTGGACTCCTCAAGCAGATGCACTCCTGTTGCCACAATACTTGCAGAATGAATTGGTGGCAATCAGCTATGGAAACCCTTAGCTGAGAATGGCTTTTAGTTTGAAGGCAAGCTTAATTAGGCACTTTTGAGTGACTGTAGCAGTTTGCAGCTGTGTTTCAGCTGCAAACCAATAATTTCTTTTGCCAAATTGTGGCAGTGCAGCAGCAGCAACAGCATGGACATACACAAGGCCATGGCGGGGGGGATGCGGAGCCCACCCTTGCTCTGTGTCTTAAGAGAGAGAAGTGGAGTTCTGGAGAGCCTGCTCAGACTTTGTTTTAATATGGGAGAGTCAGTCAGGGAGGGCTGCATGTGTCCCTGTTCCTCCCTCTGTACCATGGAGCTGGGCTGGAGATCCCATATGAAGATAAAGGTTTGCCTGCCTCGGCCCAGAGGGCTTTCTTGCTCTTGATTTACTGGCATCTGGTATCCGCCCCATCACGTTACTTGTGAGGACTGAATCTTCGGGCCTTCGTGAATTAATATTCCACTCTGTTCTCATGATTTTCTGTTCTGTTCTCTGTTCTTGATTTCTCATGGTCTGCATTTGCTATAGCCTTGGCCAAGACTCAGCTAGGATTTTTTCCCCACTGATTTTGCTCTTGTTTCATTCATTCCCTCGTAAGATTAATACCGCTCCAAAAGCCTATTAGTCCAGCTTTCTGACATGATGCTGCAGAGCGCTTGTCTAAGAATAAACCTTCACCAACACTACAAAAGCCCCTGCGATGACTGCTTTTTTGGTTTGCAATCAGCATCCCAGATGGGCTCACCATTTTGGATCAACCTGAAAGCTGAATGGAAATGAAGGTGAAACTGAAAAATCAATTTGGAAAAGATTTTTTAAATATTATTTTGTTTTGCAACAGATCATGATGTGTCCTTTTAATATCCCCTGGCTTATAAAATTATTCACTGCCTTGTGTTTTAAAA